ACAGGTCTGTGATTCAACAGTCTTACACAATTCACAGCGCTCACCATAGCACATACCCTCCCCAATGTCTATCATCCAGCCTCCCCATCCCTCCCCCCCCCCACCACTCCAGCAACCCTCAGTTTGTTTCCTGAGATTAAGAATTCCCATATCAGTGAGGTCATATGATACATGTATTTCTCTGATTGACTTCTTATGTGTGAATAGAGGAAGGAAGGAATGAGTTGAAAGACTTGCCCACGGTCACAAATTAGTAGCTGGAGGAACTAGAACCACCCCCCAATCTCCTGACTGCCCACTAAGTACTCCTGAGTGAGACCAGAACATGCATGAAAATAGCTAGGAAAACTCAAGCAGGTATCTTAGATCAGCTCCCAAATGATCCACTTAAGCCCACCCATAGGTAAAAAATGCAGCACACCAACACCAGCACATAAAGAATGTTCAGATTTTCCATGGTGTCTCTAGATCAGTCCCCTCCTGGCAATGATAATGACCCAACAAGTACATCAAGGGCCTTCACCTTCATTAATCTCTCTTTTTTTTTTAAGATTTTTATTTATTTATTTTAGAGAGAGAGAGAGAAAGTGTGGGGGGCGGGGCAGAGGGAGAGGGAGAGAAGCAGACTCCCCCCTGATTGCAGAGCCCGACTTGGGGCTCGATCCCACAACCCTGAGATCACGACCTGAGCTGAAACCAAGCATCAGCTCTTACCCGACAGAGCCACCCAGGCGCCCCCACCTTCATTAATTTCTTAAGCAGCTTCTACTTCATTGCCTCTTTGTTTCAGAGTCAAGATATACAGAGGCCTTGGAACCAGAATTTTACCAATCAGCCAGTATAAAGTGGTGTAGATGTATTAAAGAGTGCAGAATTCTCCCGTCTCCCCTTGAGGGACAAGAAAGGGGCAAAATGTCATTACTTAGAAGTATGCTGGCCCATGATACCCGAAGAGTACAAGGTATCTAAAATCCGTTTCTAAGCAAATTTCCCTTCTAGGTACATATAATTCCGTTTTTACCAATCATGAAAGGTCACATGATATGTAGGCCTCTCAGATGCTATTCAACCTTCATCAACCCAGGTTCCACATCTGAAATATGAACACGGAAAATTATTTGAGCGACTCTCTTCTTAATTCCCTCAAAGATGGTACATAACCTGGACCATCCTATATTCTTAGGAGAGGTGATCCATTATGTATGGGCATTAGGGCTTGATTCTCTCAAAAAACAGTGGCTGAGGAACATGCTAGAGCCGTCTAACATGCCTACATGTCCTGAACATGTCACAGTTGTGTGGCTCTGCACTCACGTGCACACACACGCGCACGCACACACGTTTCCAAAAAAAGCCCTTTTTTATGAGCTCTTAACAATGCAAGCAGATACATTACCTCTAAAATTTTGTCAGAGGGAAGAATTCATTTGTATTCATGTGACACAAAGGCATTGTTTTTTTTTTTTTTTTTTCCTATTTGAGAAGCATTAACAGGAAGATCAGCAAGTCTTTTGTAGATATGCAAATTATAACTCAAATAAGAACAGACTGCTGGTATGTTTGTTATGAAGAATATTAAGTGGATTTTGTAGGCAAGTTAGACCAACACGCATTCCTCCTGAAGCATTTGGGAAGGTCTTTCCAACTTTGCAGTTAATCCACCATTAATTCCGGAGCATCGCCCTCTTAAATGGCCTGAGAGGAGGTGATGGAGTAAAAACACGTTGTGTGTTTTGCCAACTGATTGCTAATTTTTTTTCTTTACTTAAACTGATTGATTCAAATCTCTTGTGGAAAACAAAAGTCCGTGATCAGTCTGTCATCTTGTCATTTTGGTCACTAGTTTGCAATGGTAAAATCAGTTTATAGTTGGTAAAATAAAGCCAAACTTGAGAAGGAATTCACATGTATAGATTGCCTGCCAGGAGCCAGGCAAAGTGCCAGGTACTTTGCATCTATAATCTCATCTAACCGCTATGAGCTAAGTGGTGTTCTCATATCCCTTTTACAGATTAAAAATGTGGGCCTCAGATTTACACAGCCACTGACAAAACTAATGGGATTCAGACAGATTTCCATGACTCATATGTTCAGGATTCTCAAGGATTCAGCAGATCTTCCTCCAGTGATGACAGGAAAATAAATTAGGGCATTTTACTTACTTTTCAGATGTATATCCCCTATTATGCAGCAGACAAAATCTCTGCCAAATATGACCACCTTTAACTTACCTTCATATAAGATCAAATGAAATGGGGAGCAGTAAGATGAAGAAATTAAAATTCATGAGTGATACTGTAAACTTGACCCTCTTGCCATGACTGATTCAAAGGAACAGTATTTCCAAAGAGCTGGTGTGCCATGTTTCACAAGAAAAGATCAAAACTCAGAAGACTGATGCCCCACTGTCCTTAGAATCCTGTGGTGGAGGAAACATACAGAATATAGTTAGATGATTTAATGATATTCTGTTATTCTCGGATTGTGGTAAGTATGTCAGTTGGCCCAGAATTATTTTCACTACCTTATTCATTTGAAAATTTCAAGTTCACCGATGGTCTTTAATTAGGTTCCCAGGAATTAGAAAATGTGTTCTTATGTCTGAGCCAGAGCAAGTGTCTGGGATTCACTGTCATGCATCATTTAACTTCTAGAAAATCCACTGTCCCTGCCTCTTAAAGAAATATTTTGGGTCTTCCTCCTCCTTGGCATGGAGCCTTGGGGACCTACTCAGAAAATAGAGAAGAGTAACTAAAGTATTTTCTTTTGTCCAAAAGCACAATGCCGAGGCACTTTAAGGATAGGAGAAAGTCCTTCTGCTAAGCCTCTTTCAACAAAGCATTAATATTTATTAACTTGCACTCTGCTATAGAATGAATGTTTTATGATCAAAAATGAGTAACAACAAAATGGGAATTTCAACCACAAGCGACCCAGTCTTCCAGTGATAAAGAACTCAGGATGGAGTTAGCAAACCACTGTCTCTGTATTTTGGGGGACTCTCATGCACTCATCCAGACAAAGGAGTAATTGAATACTGCTCCATTACTGGAAAAAATCCCATCCATTACTGGAAACAATAATCAAAAAGTTATGAGCTTCCTTTATCACTAAGAGTCAACTAAGATGAGGCTATGAATTAATGTTATATTAATGCTACATTAACAAATAAGACATACATTAAAAGGAATGAAGGATATTTCAAAAGCTCAAAATTATACATTTTAAATTTAGATTAGGTCAACTCCCAAGCAATTCAGAAAAGAGAGGGCTCTTTTTTTTTTTTTTCCAATTTTGAACAAAAGCATGCCTGTCTCAAGTTTTCCTGTTCACTCATTCACTATGTATTGAGTAGATTCTGTGTGCCAGGCACATAGAAATGGATTTTGAAATTGGAATCAAGATCTAAAAAATGACTTTTATGAGGTCTGTACTATTAAAGACTGCCCTTACTAAATCACTTTGTAATTTCTTTAACAAACTACTCAATCTTACTACAGCTTTTCATGGTGAGTTATTACATACTGAACATGAACGAGAGCATCTCAACTCCATAATGAATGTACACACCGCACAAAGGCACAGAAATAAAAACCCAGTAGCATTTATTTCTGTCCTGTCAATTCTGATGATTCAATACAGGGATAACTGTACTGGACCTTGTAACAGTGAGCTTGTTGAATATTCCTTTTCATAGTCGTGAGTGAAGTCTCTTCCTAAATATTTTAGGAGTAGATTTCCAAAACGTCTTGTTTCCATCGTGTCTAAGCAGTGTGGGGAGGGGGACATGCAAAGATTTTGGAATCAGACCTGGGTGTTAATTCTGATTTTGCGTGTAAGAAACTCTTGAAAAACCTATTTTACCTCCAGTTCCGTTTCTCCATCTATGAGATAAGCATGAGAGCACCCACCTTGCAAGGATTGTTGCAAGGAATACAGATAATGTCTATAAAGCAACTAGAACTAGCAACTCAAACTCACAATAGGTTTTGCTTTTCTTTTGATATCAAAAATCTGAAAGACTTACTCTGTTTGGGGTAGTATAATTCACCACGAAATTAAAATAATGCAACAACAAACAAAGACAGATGAACATTTTGATTCACGCTCATCTCATGAGACACGTGTTTGACATTCAACATTTCCACTTAAATAAGGTGTCTAATAAGAACAGTGTTGATTTTTGAATTAACAGACCTTCAGATGACTGAATGGGCTTGACTGAAAAGATCACCCTGGCCCCCACCCCCTCCCCAACCCTACTCCAGAACCATGATTGCTCTGCTGTGCCCATTGGAGTATAGACATCGTGGAGAAGAGAAAGAGAAAACAAAATGAGTAAACGTTAAAATTAATTGTGGTTCATCAGCAAATGAAAGATCGACCTCACAATGACACAATCCTTCACATGTCAGTTTTTGAGTGTGATGAGAGCACAAACTCTAGCTTCTGTATCAACTCAGCATATAAATGAACACATTACTCTTTAAGTATAATCTTGCTGTGACTGGGGAACATTGACCATAAAACTTGCTACCCACAGTGCTATTAGGAGGAGGATGTAAACTCTGTTTTCACTGTACCAGAGAATTGATTTATCCTTCTCTCTGTTTCCTCTCTGGCTGGTTCTCCTTTTCATATTTTGCTCTTTTTCTTCTGACTTCCGCCTCTTCCTTTTGAAATCCTGCAGGTTGTCCGGCCATATCAGACCATGTCCAATCCCATGAGCAAGCTCACTGTTCTCAACAGCATGCATTCCCACTTCATTCTGGCCGACAACGGGACCACCGGGAAATATGGAGCCGAAGTGAAGCTGAGGAGACAACTGGAAAAGCATATTTCTCTCCAGAAGATAAACACAAGTAAGTAGGCTACTGTTCCCACTGCCGGGCCTCATAGGAAGCCTGTGGAAAGTGAGTAACTACAAGTATACCGTGTGGCAATATTATAAGAACTTGAGCAAGTTTCAAACAGGGATCATTATGAGTCTGCTGGGCCAGTGGTTAGAACCTGAGGAAGTCATCTGGGGGAGGAGGACTGGACACGTAAGACGAGGGATTGCGTGATTAGTGGCCTAGCGCTCATTTGTCATATGCGAGAAACTCAACCCCATCTGGGGTGTATGCAAGCAGATATGTTTTTCTTTCCAGACTTTTCCTACATCCTTTACACAGTACTCTAAGGAGGAAAGGCACCCTAGAGAAATTGTTTCTATTTGTTAAGCTACTTTTGTTGGCCAGAAATTTTATATATACATATGTTTTGATCTTAGCATAGATCTGCCTATGGTTAGGAATTTCAAGGCAACTGGCATTCTCTAAACAAAAGTAACCCTTGAGGAGGATTCGTGGCAGGCTCAAACTTTAGGGGTAATTGTATGTCTCATCAGGACAACTTGGATCCAATTGATCCAACTTTCAAAGCCTGCAATTCTAAATAACAAAAGATTCTCTTTGGCTAGATAAGTTTCCAAAAGCTCAGTGTGCTGTGATTCAGCTTGTCCAAATGGTTGCTCTCTATTCTTTTCTCTGTAACTGTCTGGGGTGGGTTTTGCCTGCCACAGCCACCTTCCTCCCAGAACTGGAATGTTCGCCCTATCAGACCACAACTTCTCTTTCTTATACCTGTTGTGGTCCCAACTTTTAGGAGCTACTACTATTTTATCTTTTTCACAGAGATGTCTGGAATAGTACATTTTGGCCTAGGCCTGAAGTCCAAGTTGTATTAGGAAACTGTCTTCTATCCTAGAATCCCCAACTGTCTTTGGAAAGAGAAAACAGGATCATCCCAAACTAGACATCTTTTGGAAAGAAAAAAATAGAAAAGACTAGCAAATCTATCCAGAAATCGGCAGAGATCAAATGTAACTAAGCATTATAACCAATAGGTAGTAGGTTTTGTAATACTAAAATTGAATTGTATTACAATAGTGGATAGAAAGGGCAAATGTTATGTTATGAGTGATATCTATTAGATTTTGACTTCTTATACACCATCAGGTTAAGAATGAGAACCTCAATGGGAGTGACCTGAAAGATGCAGGACAGGAGCAGGACAGACAAAGAGCAAATTCAGGGTCAGATTCAGGGTGCTGATGAGGCGAAACCTGTCCAGCCCAGCAAAGCCTGGCATTGGGCTAGGCGCTGGTGGCAGCCGGGCCGGTTAGTCAGTAGTGAGGAGAAGAGCTAGGTATGTGGTGGTGTAAGTTATATACCCGGCTCAGGGGTGCCAGGGGGGTTAAAACCCCGCCAAAGCTCTGTCTGCCAAGCTCCATGCCTTACAGGCTGCCCAAGGACAGGTTGCTTTTTTTCTAACTGGTCATCCTAGAGGGAACATCTTTTTGTAACTTATCTGCCTGGAGGGGCACCCTTCCTGTAAAGCTCCCAGAGGTGCTCTATGTGTGGACGGCCCTGCAGTGGGGGGCCCATATAATGACCTTGCCACAGTGAGGCACAGAGCCCAGAAGCATGGAGTCGGAGAGCGGGCCAAGGCTGGTCAGGATGTCAGGGATGCTGGAGTTGCTGGGACCCCCTACACAGGCCTCATGCCATTCATAGAGACAGTGGACCCTTGCTAGATTACCAAGGTAGGTAGCAGCACACAAAAACATTGACAAGTGGGGACCCAGTCAAGGGTCTAGGGTAAAAAATGTAGGGGAGGAGCATGCACCAAGTACAGAGCTGAGGCACAAGGTCAGAGAGGCAGGGTAGAGACTCTTGAACTGCTCCAAGCCCACAAACAGGATTAGGTCTGGGGTAAGGGATGAGCCCCAGTGGGTTAAATGACAGTAGTTGGAACGAGGTGGGGGCAGGGGAACCACATGGTCATTGGAATTATCATAATTTATAAACATAATTTTCCTACATGCTTCGAGATACTTATTTGAGGATTTGCAGAAACCCGCAGGCTCCCACTGAGTAAAAATAATTAAATGGGAAGAAAAGGTTAAAGACACCCAGAGGCGATCTCTGAGGTCACAGGAAGTAAAAAGGGTCAGGGTCAGCAGTTTGCTCACAAGCTGTAGTGAAAGATGCCATGAGTTAGCTTTTACACCGGTTCTGTCCCTAAGCTTAACCTGAGAGGGTGATCAACCTGTCCCAGGTGCCTGAGACTGTCTCTTCATTGAAAGTCCCATGTCCCTGGGTCCCCTCAGTCCCAGGCAAACCAAGATTACCCTCCAAGTGAGCCACTCGTGAGTCATTAGGTCTCCTTGTCTTTTTGCTGCATTCACCCCAAAAAGCAGGGAAGGGGCAACAAGGTGTTCAGAGCTTAAGGAGTGTCCCAAGGAGTTCCCCAAAGTAGAGCAGGACCTCGAGGCCTCAATTTAGTTAACGGCAAAGTGCCCACTGAGAACACAGAAGCCTCCAGAACAGGACTAACAAGGGGTAAAGTTGACCCGGTTATAACAAGAAACAGCGGAAGTAAGAATACAAACCTTTAATGCAATCAATCCCCAATCAGTACCTTGGAACAGCAACTCTACTGTCCAGGGTGGACACTATTTCTTTTCCTTGTATCACAATTAGCAGTAATGTGGTTCTTCCCATTAAAAATAAAACTGATTCGAAAAACCTCATTTACTTTTGTAGTTCCCCCTTCAAAAGTTAAAGAAATCTAAAACACAAAGGTGGAACTCAATTTTGGGCCCCAGCGTGGTCTCTCAAAAATGAGACACCACACCGCAATTAACAGGGCTCATCACCCATTCCGCCTCGGAGGACACCGGGAGTGCTGGGACTGCGCTCAGCGTTTTCCTAAAGTGCCATTCCTCCTCACCACCTAGGGGTGCCCTGCCTACCACGGTAGCCTTTCAAGTCTGTTTCTTACTTAAATGACCTAATCGTCTGAAGGATACTTTCCTTAAATATTAAGTGAATCCTGTTCGGGAGACCTTTCAACCCTTTCTCATCAAAATGCCAATTATGAATGATAATGAATCACAAGCACCAGTGCCTTTGATTTGTCTCTGCACCCTGGCCCCCATTATCTCGTCTCTCCCCTGCGTCTCGCCCCTTCTCAAGTATTGTCCCTGGTCCCTGAAGGACTTGGTTTTTAAAGGAGAACCCTTTGGGGCATGCGCAGTGACCTGCTTTGGAACACTCTTCCATCTGCCACTTACTAAACTTCACATTTAACATGCACAGCCTCCAACAGCTCCAAGTATGCCTTTTAGGATGCAGGTATTTCTTGAACTGCTGTTACAGACCAGTCATGGCTGAGGTCTGCGAAATTCATGGACCTTAACTCTAGAGGGGTAGAGTAATAGGTAAATAAGGGAACAAATAAATATACGATGTCTGGTAGTGAAAAGAACCGTTAAGAAAAAGAGAGCTGAGGAAGGTATAGGACTGGACCTGCGTGCGCGGTTTGCACGCATGCGCACCCGCGCGTCGAGAGGCTGGCGTAGAGCAGGTGGTCGGGAAGGGCCTCTTTGAGGAGGTGACACGGAAGCAGAGACCTGAATGAAGTCAGGGAGCCCACTGTGGGGAGAACATTCTGGAAGGGAGCGAAAGTAGGGACAAAAGCCCCAGGTGTTCAAGAAAGAGCAAGACATTTGTAGAGGGCTAGGTTTTATTCTAACAGAATTGTGATCCGGCAAAGTACAGGATCTGCTTCCCGGTTTAAAACATCACTCTGCTGCTGTGTGCAGAGACCAGACTGAGGTGGGGGGCAAGCTTTCGAGCAGGGAGATGTGTTGGGAGGCCGTTGCAATAATGCAGGTGGGCATGAGCGGTTTGAAATAGAATGGCAGCGACAGGGGAAGTAAAACGTGGTCGGATTCAAATACAAGCATAGATATTTTCTTAACTGGGCTTTTTTTTTAAATATAAAATATACATAACATGAAAGTTACCGTTTGAACCATTTTTAAGTATACAGTTCAGTGGTATTAAGTCCATATACATTGTGCGACCATCACCACCGTCCATCCCCAGAACGTTTTCATCATCCCACACTGAAATTCTGTCCCCATTAAACTCTAACTCCCTGTTCCTCCCCCCTCCCCCCTTCAGCCCCGGATAACCACTATTCTACTTGATATCTTTACGAATTCACCTGTTGCAGGTGCCTCATATAAATCATATAATATTGGCCCTAAGATATATTGTGCAGGTAGAACTCAAGAGGACTTGCTAATGAATTGGGCATTCAGGGTAAGGAGTAGACACATCAAGTGAAAGCTGCAAGGCCATTCTTAGCAACACTGGTATATTCTTAAAACAGGGGGGCTAGGGAGAGCCCCAGAGGAGTAAGCTTTTGCAGGAAAAAAAAAGTGGGGGATCTCTGGGGAATTGGGACGAAGTCCCTAAGAGAGAGGGAGGTGATGAGATTCAGTGCACAGATAAAGAGCTCGGCCGTAGGATGTGGACAGCTTCATCCTGCATAGCAGGAGGGAGGGCAGAGCATATGGGCACAGACGTGGGTAGGATGGAACGTTTTCTGCTGGGATGATCAGGTACTTCTCTGTAGATAGTTTCTTTATAAAGAAAAGAGTACGGGAGGTCATCAGCAAAGAATGTGGAAGGGGAGGAGGGAGAGATTAGGGAGCAAAAGGAACTATAGTTAATAGAGAGACAGGGAGAATGACCGGACCAGGGAAATGTAGCATTACCCCACAGCACCCTGGTCCCACCGGGTATTTGTGGTTGTGAATTTCGAGAGGCATGGATCACTAGGCTTGTGTGTTTTCTTTGCAGCCATGTTCAGCCCGAGTAGTAGAACAGACACAGAAATGGGTTAAGCGCCTGTTGGGATTTTGCCTGGCAAGTAAGAGGAAGAGAGAGGCAAGGGAGTGAGGCTGTATGTACTCTGTAAACCTGTATACCTATATCCCAGGAGTGTTATCAGTGTCTGTGGATGA